TTGGGGATGCAATCAAGGCTGGAGATATTGGTCGGCTGGAGCGAGTTCTCAAGTGGATCACGGTTATGTTCCAGGCAGGGTTGAACAGGAAATACGCCTACGAACTCCTGCATCTTCAAGTCGGTCTAGTCCATGCGTGGCCCCTACAAGCCAAGAGAGCGATCCTGTCGTCTATGCTGGTGAACACAACTGGAAAAAAGATAGATTCTTAGCGACCGACATGTATCAGGAGCACTGCAACCTCGCCATCAAACATATCTACGCTGCCAAGGGGGGAAATTTGGCGTGGGAGACACTGGCAGAGAAGATATCAACCGTTATCGAGTTGTTTCCGGTTCTTAGGGCAAAGTTTCGAGCAGTGTTCGGTCTCAAACACAACAACACCAAGCACAGCACGGTCGACTCGTCAAATGATATGAAAGATCTTACGGCGAGGCTTGAGGATCAAAAAGTGTTTAATTGGCGTCCGATACGACAAGTGGGTAGGCCTTCCAGAGGGGTGGTTGATGCGGTGGATCTATTGGACAGGGGGATGACCAACTTGCAGTCTAATGGGCGTCTTGATTCCTTTCGCTCTGCATTCATGCGACGAGTGCGACGATCTAAGCATGAGGATGAGCGTCAGCCCAACGGCGATGTCGACAAGGGGTCAGATCCAGACGAGGATGTGGAGATGATGGAAGCCTTTGAGGAGTTGGGAGAGGGAGGGGAGGATGAGGAGTTGGGATGGGGTTGTGTGTTGGACGAGGAAGACATAAGCAACAATATTTTTTTCGACTGAATTAAATACTATTTTATTTTGTGACGTTCTGTGCAACCTCCAATAAACAAAATGTATCCAGTTCTACTTGTGTTTGTTTTTCCAAGGAACAAATTTCAATCCGGTCGTATTTGTTTTATCCGTTAATGGTTGCCGTTGCCTTTTCTGTTGCTGCGGCTGTTGCTCTTTTCGTTTGTTTTGAAGGTTATTGTTGTAGTGATTGTCGTCTATCACTTGAGTGTTTCCGCTGCTTTGATTTTGCCGCTGTTGTTTCTGGTTGTGCGGGGGCTGGTTTTCTTTTTGTTTGTTCTGCTGCTGCCGAGAGAGTCGGTGCTGTTGTTGATTTAGTTGGTGATTTCGCTCCATTGGGTGGTGCTCTGGTAGTTGTTGCTTTGGTGGTTGCTGCTCAGACTCAGGCGCTGTCAGGTCGATCAACGTGCCATACTTCGGCCTATCCACCTGCTTCCTCTGGGCATGCGACTGGGTCTTGGGTCTCCGAACGCGTTTAGAATCGATGTTGTTATTCAACTCCACCAGGATCTGCATAACTTGTTCAACATACTCAGGAGTCGAAGGTTCCCAACGCACAGCCTTCTGCATCGAGTCCAGATCCTTGACGCGAGCAAACTTGTCGGAAAGCGTCTTGGCGGTTTCGAGTGGCATGATCCAGTTGTGTGTTGCAAAGCGGTTGCTGGGTGGTCGATCGCGGTTGAATGTCTCTGTCCTCCATGTCAATATCAACTGCAGAGCAAGCGCCTTCTCTTCCTCTGACCTTGATGAACCCCTTGTCCTGGCATTAATGATGGTATCACGTTCTTGCTCCTCCACCGGCCTGTACAGGTCCAACTCATGGTGAGTGTCGCAACACACACCCTCCACGTCGAGATCCATGTTGTCAAAGACTCGGTTAAGGACACGTCGTCGACATTGGTCGGTCCTGATGTACTCTGCCAAGTCCGGGTCAATTTTGTTGTAATTAATACCCTTCGGCACCAACAAAAGTCCAAGTCCTCTCGCCTTTGTGTCACGCGCAGCTCGTCCTTGTCGTTGAACTAGAGTTGAAAGGTCAGGAGGCAGTCCATACTGGACCACGCGCTCAACGTTGTCGATGTTGCAGCCCATTCCTGCTGCCTCAGTGGCCATGATGAGTTTGAGTCGGTCTTGTACTATGCCGTCCATGATTCCGGCCTTGTCGTCGGTATCGTGTAACGAGTGGTAAACTCCAATTAAGTGCTCGTCTTCTTCTTTTCCTGCAAGCCGAAGGTATTCCGCTGCACTCTCTGTGTCGCTCCTTGACTGAAAATATACGATTGTTTTTTTGTAGTCCCGTAGAAGAAAGTCGAGATCTCGAAAGCTGTTAGCCGGATGACGAAGAGTGTCAACAGCCAGCTGAACGTTGGGTCGGTCGTTCCCCAAGTTGATAAGGTGAAGGTCTGGGCCATAGAAGAGGGTCGTCTTGAGGGTTGCCAGATACTGAGGAGGTAGAGTTGCCGACAATGAAATGAAGCCGACGCCACAGCGAACCTTGCCTCGAAGTTCTCCTAGACGCGAATAGTCCTTCCTGAAGGATCCACCCCAAGTGTGAACACAATGAGCCTCGTCCACAACAACGGACATTAGGCGGTCTCTCCAGCGCTGTTTCTGCCATAGGTTGTCGATCCGTGAGCTGCTGAATATCACCTCGGGTGTCATGAATATGGCTCTATAGGTTCCATTGACGATGTCCGCTATCTCCCGCTTGGTCGGAATGGTTTCCTTCTTTAGGACAATGCCTGGAACGCCCACCTTCTCCAGCCTCTTCTTCTGCTCGTCCGCAAGAACCTTCAGAGGAGAAATGATTACAACGGATCGATCCTTCCAGTGAAGCAGAGGAAGGAAGAAGGTGAGGGACTTCCCCCATCCACAGCAGGCGATCAGAACGCAGTCCTGTCCACTGCCAACCAACTCAGCAACTTCCAATTGTTCCTTCCAAGGCCTGTGTTGATAATGCCTCAAACAGATCTCTTCCATTTGCTCCCTGTCCGTGAGAGTCGGTGCATGGGGTGTTGAATCGGAGTGATTGTCAATTGCTCGTTGCGAAATGGGCTGGTTGTCAAGGACTGGTAAGGCCAAATTGACGGCTGGCTGGCTGGCAAGCGTAGGTGAGGGCTGCATATCAGACATTGGTGGCAATGGTGGCGAACAGCGCGAGCGGAGGAGAGGTGTGTTTTATGTATGCCTGTCTCGACTCCTTCTCTTCTTGTTTCCCTTTTTGGAGGGTAGGGTCTGCGCTGTAGGCTATTTTCATTCTTTTTCTTTTTTTACAGCAATTTTAAGGGTGTTTTATTGCCAAAAGCAGTCCAACAGTCTATTTTGCGAGGTCCTATGTCCACCCCCGACTTTGACGCCAGCCGTCAGAGAAGCAAATGCCTTATGACCAAAATTGGGAATAAGAAATGCAGGCGCTTCTCGACGGATGGAGTCGAGCCTACCTAAAAGTCAATTGTCCATTACAGAGCACCTTCCATATTTGGTCAATCCAATGCTACCTGCATGGCCCATGGTAGTGGTGACGTCATATGCAATATGGTTTCAGATGGTGCCCCTGATGATGCTGATCATGACGAGGTACTTCATTTGTTTCTCCGGGGCCTGTAAGGCCCTCTAGAAGCATATTTAATCAACTACCCCTTAATACTCTTACATTTTCACATAAGGCTTTGAGCAACATGGAAATTCTATGCACCATGGCTCAAAAGGTGCCCCTGATGATGCTGATCATGGCGAGGTACTTCATCTGCTTCTCCGGGGCCTGTGAGGAGCTCTAGAAGCATATCTATTCGACTACCCCTTAATACTCTTACATTTTCACATAAGGCTATGAGCAACATGGAGATTCTATTTTGTAACTCTCGCACTCTCTGCACATGCACATGTACACACATATACATATGCACATATACACTCTCTCTCTCCCTTCCGCGCTTTGGAGGCCTTTCAAGTTCAAATTGTAATATGGTATATGTTACATCTCTGCAGATCTTGACAATATCTACAGCGACCATTAGAGAAGAGTGCATGTATAATATCAAGCATGTAAAACAACCACTGTAACATTTCTTGCGTGACTATCCTACTAAACACCAACCTACTTTCCAAACAACAACGTCTTCTTATTTTTCGCACACCAATCTCTTGAATGTGTCCATCTACTGTTAAACTGTACCCCTCACCGCGAGATTACAGGGAGTACTTCTTGTATGTGATCATCTAAAGCACTTGTACTCTCAGCTGTATCTTTGTCGTGGAATACAGAGAAGAGATTATATTTTAAAAAAACATGTGCTGTCTGTGGCTATTTTATTTCATATTCTATTGCCGACTGTGAAGAGATACATCAGCTATGGAAGTCAACACTGTATTCCTTGGGCTTTGGATATTTTGTATATGCCTTTTTATATCCTTTGTGTCAAGAAAGCAGACCAAGCAATAGAATGAAGTAGATAAAGAGAACCTTGATCAAGGACTAAGAAATGAGTATAAGGAATAGGTTAAAGAGTATGTTGTATTGGCGATACCAAGTAAAGAGCTATAGATTTGCTATCTAAGGCCCTTTTATACTCGTTAGGGCGAAGTCACAAGAGCAAGCTCTTGTCTCGTGACACTTTGCACATGAAGAGGCCGCTTTGTAGTACCCATCTCTTGTGCAATAAATGGGATCTCTTTATCCTAAATACCCTGCTTTGTAATATGCAGCCTGTGTATTTTAATATCTCTAAAATGCTGACGAAAGAAGATGGAGAGGATGAGTGGATGACAAGAGGATAAGAGGACAAAAGGACAAGAGAGCAAGAGGATAAGAGGATAAGAGAACAAAAGGACAAGAGAGCAAGAGGATAAGAGGATAAGAGAACAAGAGAACAAGAGGACAAGAGGATAAGAGGATAAGAGAACAAGAGAACAAGAGAACAAGAGGACAAGAGGACAAGAGGACAAGAAAACAAGATAAGAGGATAAGAGAATAAACAACAAAAACAATATTTATTCTTTCTCGCCATACTCTCTTGGTGTGCTAGTTGTTACATTAGAAAAGCTCATAATACTGTGCTGACTAGCGGTAGGGCTGGTGGAATTGGATAGGCGGGGGTGTCTTCTTTGGGGTGAGGGAGTGAGGGATGTAGTGGATGAGTATGGAGACACTTGCCGACGATGCCTTCGCTCATGAATAGTTCTCTCCGTCCATTCTGAAGTTTTGGATACATCAGCACGTAACCCCATAACCGTATCCTCCAAACGACCCATCATTGACACAAGAGACTGGATCTGATCCGGCATAGATTGATTCTCCAATCGACTCATCATAGATAAAATAGACTGCATCTGATTCTGCGTAGGTAGATTCTCCAGACGAGATAGAATGAACTGATATTGATCCTGCGTGATGCTGAGGGGTGTAGATGAAGCAGGGGTTGCAGAAGAGGCAGAGGATGCAGATGAAGTAGGGATTGCAGAAGAGGCAGGGGAAGCAGATGAAGCAGGGGTTGCAGAAGAGGCAGAGGAAGCAGATGAAGTAGGGATTGCAGAAGAGGCAGGGAAAGCAAATGAAGCAGGGGTTGCAGAAGAGGCGGAGGAAGCAGAAGAAGTAGAGGAAACAACCAATGGACTTGAAATGTCTGGAGTCTAAAGTACAATCGAAAAGTAAATAAACATGGTTAATAAGCTATAGGGTTTCAATACCAATGGCATGCCAAGACTTGAAATTCTTTATAAACATTGTATCTACCATAACTGAATCAGACATCACTCTGGCAGAAAAGCGGTCGTTTTCGAATGTACATGTTTTTTGAAGCTTGAGCTTTAAGATACCCTCAATGCTCTCGCATGGGTGTCTATCCTTGCAGCCTTGAATGTGTCGCTGCAAGTTTCGCTTCGTCGAATGTTTGGCCTCACAGACACAGTAATAGGGCGGAGTAAAGATGACTTCAATGTTGCCTCCTACAGTAATAATGAGTTTGGCCTTGCTGGACATTGTGCTGCTGTAGAATAAAGACGGGCGGGGAATTGAAGATGGATGATAAGATATATGAGTAAAAAAAGTTACATTCCTTCTTTATTTATATTTTTACGGAGAGCATTTTGTAAATATGCATCAGGCACAAAGGGATATAGGGACATCAATGGGCATAAATGGGCATAAATGGGCATAAAGGGGCAGAAATGGGCATAAAGGGGCTACACCGGGCATAAATGGGCAGAAATGGGCATAAAGGGGCAATAAAGGGGCAATAATGGGCATAAAGGGGCTACACCGGGCATAAATGGGCAGAAATGGGCATAAAGGGGCAATAATGGGCATAAAGGGGCTACACCGGGCATAAATGGGCATAAAGGGGCAGAAATGGGCATAAAGGGGCTACACCGGGCATAAAGGGGCTACACCGGGCATAAATGGGCACAAAGGGCATAAAGGGGCATAAATAGTAGGCATTGTAATATAAACAGCTGGGGAGAGAAAGATGCTGAGAAAAAGCTAGGATCTTTGAGCCCTATGATAATATATATAATACTACTACCCTTAATAGAGAATGAGGATTGAGTGGACAGACACTGAGATGCAACAGGTATATAGTGCGGGCCGTGTAAAAAAAAGGGGGGGTGAAAAGGTACAAGTTTTCTCAAAAACACTAATATAATGCCCTTAAGTTAAGCAACTGAAAGAAGAAAAAAAAAAGAAAAAAAAGAAGAGAGAGAGGAGATGTTGTTCTTTCGAACAAATCTATAGAACAATGGGCTTAATCTCAGCAGATCGTAGCAACAAGGCTACTCTACTGCTTACAATACCCCGTTCAATTAAAGTCGTCTGCAATGGATTTATCTCTTCCAATATTTGAAATTAACATTAGCAGGAACCTCACAAAGCCTTTCCGCTCTGCAAGATAACCCCACGTAGTATGATTCAGGATCCGAGGATCTATTCGTATTCAACTAAAAATCGGAAAAGGCGGTAATCGTCGCGTTCTAGCACGGGTTCTGACTTAGAGGCGTTCAGCCATAACCCAACGGATGATAGCTTCGGGCCATTGCCTGCTCAGGCAGGCCCAAATACCAATTATCCGAATGAACGGTTCCTCTCGTACTAAGTTCAATTACTATTGCAACAACATTTCATCAGTAGGGTAAAACTAACCTGTCTCACGACGGTCTAAACCCAGCTCACGTTCCCTATTAGTGGGTGAACAATCCAACGCTTACTGAATTCTGCTTCAGTATGATAGGAAGAGCCGACATCGAAGGATCAAAAAGCAACGTCGCTATGAACGCTTGGCTGCCACAAGCCAGTTATTATACCCTTATGTAAATTTTCTGCCACCTTTTTCAAACTCTATTCCACTGCACTTACGATTTCCTCTTCTTGCATCCCACTGCACTTGCGATCAAGATTGGCCTTATGTGCTACCTTTGTCACACCTTATCTCCTGAACTGCTTTTTTGACTGGCCTCTGTGGCTTTGCTTAGCACAAGTGGCAATGCTCTGTTGAGAGTGCCGTTTTTCCCAGCTTCCTGTTAACCTTATTTTTTTGTTAACCTTATTGTTGCCTCACTAACTTTAACCGCCCATTGCCTGCCTGTTTTCTTTTGTAAACTTTATTCATCTGATGACTTGTTTTTTCATTTTTATAAAGGCCATGTGTGGCGATGAAATGAGCATCTTTTATTCAAAAACAGTTTATCATATCCTTAGCTTTTTAGGACGGTCTTCGTCATCACTGTCAACGTCGTCGGCTGCTCGTTTTCCGGCGTTCTTGAGCCTGTCAATGAACTTGACATGCTCTTTGGGAAAGATCTGGCCAAAGTTGGTGTCGCTGACACGTATCACGACCTGCTGCATGCCATGCGCGTCCTTCTCGGGGACATCGATGGCTGGTGGCAACTTGGGAGCACATATCATGGGGTAGGCGACAACCATGCTGATGAAGATGTTGTCAGGGCAGAAGTTCCGGAAATTCTTGGCATGGTCCTGAATGCAAGACGCCGAAACCGTGGCCAGTGCCTTTTCCCAGAGCTTCTTGTAGAGTTTTGATGAACTCTGATGCAGCTTCATCTGCGCAAAACAGGCATCATCCGGCGACCGTCGATTCGGGTGAAGAAAACCATGTCTGGTCCTGACGGGTTGTTGCTGGGGAAGAAGAACGGATCGACAGACGTGTTGTTGCGAGTTGATTGGTGGTTGACATGTGCGTCCATAAACTCCTCCATCGACATCATCGCATAGGTCGTCCCTTGTAGGAGTGCAGGTTCTCTCCAGCCAACAATCTCCACCTCGCCGGCAAGATCAGGGCTCATCTCCAAGATCGGGGGCTGATGCGGCCATTCAGAGAGACGTCGCGACTTGAATGTCTCGCTGAAAACAGTCATCATATACCGCTCGAAGATATTTCCCTGAGCGGCTGAGTCCGTCCGATCCATCAACTCCCTGAGAGCCGTCTGAAAACCTAAACGAATTGAATTCGAATCGACAGTTCCATTCGAATTTGAATCGAATTTGAACTCACTTTATTCGAATTGAATTTGATATAAGCCAAATTCAGTTCGTTTGATTCGTTTAGAAGCCCTAGTTCATTACATCTTCTGTTTCCCACACCTCCACCTGATCCTGCCTCGAGAAAGGTCAATCCTGCCTTACTCTAGTCAAGATTCTCGACACCAGCTTACTAATCATGGTTCTTATGAACTAGCCTGTTAACACTATCCAACTAGATAGCTTAACCTATCCTAGAGTTGAGTTGGATTAGTCAGCGTCGTATGACCTCAACGTTATTGGTGCATGGTCATACATAGGGAGTGGACCATTGGCGAAGGGCTATGGTCATGAGTATCCAGAGTGATGTCACTCTGACAATATGACCTTCTCATCAACATTAGCATCACCTCTCTCGGGTACATCTCTGGTGTCATCCACACTTACCACATCATCCAATAACTCGACCACTTTAAAAAAATAACCCTCGCCTTTTTTCGAAACGAACGTATTTTTCTGTACTTTTATCTTTTTCCTTGTAAAAAACCCCATAAACATCGAGAAAAAAAAGACACTTTCACCAAAAAAAATAAATAAATTGTTAACTCTACTGGTGTTCCTCCTCTTCACTATTCAGCAATCAGGAAAAGGGAATAAGCTCATATTTCTTATTTAGGGTCAGATCACCACATTTCTGGAGCAGCGATGTCGCTATAAGGCAGGATTGGGCCTAGAAAAGGGTTCTACACAGATCACTAGTTCTACAACAAATGATCAGTGCTTTTACATCGACTCTCATTCTGCGACTACTGCGTATTGCACTGCACCTCCACTACATGTTTTCTGACGCTCTGAACACCGACCATCTGCCGTAAATTTCCAGCATGGAGACATTTCAAAACAAACAGTGACTTTACTATTTATAAATCTGTTTCTACTCTTCGGCACAGCCAACTAAGGAAGAGGTGAGTGGTACCAGAACAGATGAGGCTTTGCTTTTTTGTCAGACATGTCCGTACTTCTATTCTTTGCCATATTCTCCGCTTGGGGATGATGCGATGAGTTCATTCACATAGTCCTGTCCTTCATTTTCGTCTGATTCCGCCTCATTGTCCTCTATACATTGGTTGAACAGAGTCATCAGGTTGATGATGAGGCCCTATTTCATCATCGATATAAATAGAGAATTAGCAAGTGTAAAGTAAACGAGAAGAGTCCAAGTATCGATGAATAATCGCTAGTTACATACCCTTGTCTGTAGCAAGAGCTTGGCAACTTTTAAGTTGAGCTTGAATTGATTCAGTGTTTCCGCCATCTTAAAGAGCCCTTGTCCTTTGAGAACTGTGGTATAACGCCCGCCACCGAACACCAAGTCCATCCTTGTCAACATCGACCCTGATCAGAAATAAGAATTTCCAGGCTGAAATATTAGCTTTGATATACTAGTCATTCTTTCTCCCTTAGTTAAAGTTACGTCTGCTCTATAAACACATGTGGACTTACCGCCTGTCACGACACCGATCACTTTTGCTTGATTAATAAACATATCATTCCATGCTGTCTCTTGAGCGCGATGGAAGAGAATGTCATGCAACTGTCGTGATACTTTGATACGGCTTTCGCCTATCACCTTGTTGCCAAAAGAATCCCAGAGATGACCTGATTCCACAACAGACCAATCCCTGGAAGTGTGTCCCAATGTCCTAATGAAGACATCACTCTTGGTCCCTATCTTCTTGCGAATGGCTTTGACAGGCTCCTCAGGTCGGTGACGATTCTTTCGTCGGCTACTTTCCAGACCCGTCTTTTCGCCATTGATTGCGTAGCAACTGTTGATGTCGTCGACAAGATGACCCAAGATGGAGAAGCAGTGGGAGGACCACCATGCCTCTGAGAGCAAGGTGCCTGCTGTAAATGGGCCAGATTCTTTCCGATACAAGAACCACCTAAGCCACAATGTGAGAATGAATAAGGATGAGTCGATCTTAGATTATAATTGTGCGCAGGCTCGCTAACATAGCACCAATTGCACTCACCAGTCTAGCATCAGCTTTCTGACTAACTCCAGCTCATACCGTATCTGATCTTCTTTTGCAAGCCCTAGAGGTCCAAGATCAGCCCCCTCCATACCATCGATAAAGGTTGCGGCTTTCAGCTTGTCCAACTTCATACTAGATCCAGACAAATTGAAACCACACAAGTACCGCTCCACTACCGGGTGCAATGTTGGTTCTTCAATCGCTGTTGCACGGCTTCTGATGGCGTCCCAGTCCTCGTCAGAGAACGCCTCACGCGCTCGTTTGTCCGCCATATCTATCATAAATGAGTGCATGGGGCTACCGCAGAAATCGTATACGCATGCGATCAGTCATATTAGGTAAGTATGGGATCCAAATATCATATCCGTATAGTCTTCAATAGGAAACAAGCACTGTACCATTGCTCCCGAATATGGCGCCCTATTTCGAAGAGGATATTTTCCGCATACCGCCCAGATGGGAGTTTCCACTTGTATGAATCCTTCATACTCTTGAATCGCTCTCGGAATCGATACATGTCCGGCTCGCCATTGCTAGGATCTTCTTCGGAAGAAGATACGACGGCTGTTGATGCGACGATAGAATGGGCAGGCGATGGTACAAGTGCAGAAAGTGCAGAAGACGCAAAGGAGCTAGTCGACTGCTGCAAGACTAGGGAGGTTGTAGGGTCTTGTACTGCTGGGGACGAGTAGTCATTTCGAATTCGCTTGTTCCAGTACTCATCGACAGTAACCTGTACTTCTAATGTCCCCCTGTCCAGTTCACGCTTCCGCTTCACCGCAGACCAGAATACGTTCGCATTGTCCACATGATCCTTTTTCTGCCATCGCTTTTTTAAGGAAGCACCCTTTGTTTGAAGTCCCTTGTGAGTATTCGACGTGAGGTGAGTAAGAGCCTCGTCCCACTGGTTCTCACATTGGTCCTTAGTTAGTTGCTTAGATTCTGAGAATCGAAGGAAAGCGATATAGTCGAAGTCGGCAATTGACTGGCAGCTCTCAAAATATGAACGCGCTGATATATCGCCGAGCATGCCCTTCCACGACGGTGACCGAGCCACATTTTTCTCTTTGGAGGATCCCATTAGGCTTCTAAGAACAAAGAAGGGACAGAGGGACAGAGAAAGGTATTTGTATTAAAAAAAAATCATAATTATGAGAGGAACTTTTTCAGGTTCCAACTTCACAGTACAGACGCGCTCAGCTCAAGAACCCTCTGCTCGAGTTTTAATGAGATCCCTGACCCCAAAACATGCTACTGCTCAGAACTTCTAGCATAACGAAGGTCTGAACAGCGTTAGATGAAGTCAACTCGGTAACGCTTGGTTCCAAAAAGACCTCTTACATCTAACGCGCCTGAATTGGACCCACAGCCTTCTAGTGTCAACGACAATAGACAGGTGGTTAGAGCTACACGGCTCAAAAACCCTCTGCTCGAGTGTTAATGAGATTCCAGGACCCCAAAACATGCTGCCACTCAAAGCATCTAGCATAGCGAGACTTTGAGCAGTGTCGGATGAGGTTGGAAACAAGGTGATCCAACAAGTCAGTTGCTATAACAGCAAGACTTCCTACATCGAACGCGCCTGAAATGGACCCGCAGCCGAAGGCAGGAATAGCATTCAGCCCCGTGTGTCAACTGATAGAATAAAAATAATGCAGAAAGAGCTAAAAGAGCTCAGTGAAACTCACTGCGTGGATTGGTGTGCTTTGCGAGAGAGAGAGAGAGAGAGAGAGAGAGAGAGAGAGAGAGAGAGAGAGAGAGAGAGAGAGAGAGAGAGTGTGTGAGTGGGAGTGAGTGGGAGGGAGTGAGTGGGAGTGAGTGAGTGGGAGTGAGTGAGTGGGAGTGGGAGTGAGTGAGTGGAGTGAGTGGGAGTGAGTGGAAGGGGTGGTGGCGAGGGATGAAAGAAAGAAAAATATCAAACGTTATCAACAATTAAAAGAAACGTTATCAGAAATTAAAAAAGAAACGTCATCAAGCTTAAAAAAGAAACGTCATATCGTTAATTCCTGCACTCAAGCGCATATGTCATCATCTTTATATCCTTCTAGCTTCCTTTTACTTGTCTTTCTTTGTTTCCAACTCCTTTCTTTATCACCTCTCACTTTTGCCACCATTCCCACACCTTCATCGCCCTTACCAACTTCCTTTACCACCACCCTCCGCGCCTCATCCTTTCCTTGTCTCTCCCACGCACACTCTTCCCACATCCCTTTGCTGTGCCACCTTCCCCACTCTTTTTTTATTGTCTCCTCCCTTCTTTTGCAACCTCCCTTTTCTTCCCCCTCAACTTTGCTTCCCGTTCGTTCCTCACCTTCCCTTTCTTTTTGCCACTATTTCCACGCCTTCATCGCCTTTGCCACCGTTCTCACGCCTTATCATTCCGTCTTACTTTTCCTTTTAACCCCACACCTTCTTCCATCCTTTTCTCTTTTCTTTTTCTTACCTTCTCTACATCCCGCACTTTCTCCACAAACCTTACTCTTTTACAGCCCACACCTTCTTTCCTTCCACGTCTTTTCATTGATACTTCACAACAGCATGACCGACAATCTCCTGACCCTGTTCTGTCTTGTTAATGGTGAATCAACCCCGTTCCCTCTCGAGATTGATTCCACCAAGACAATCGGTGGCCTTAAGAATCTCATCGTCAATGGAAACCAAGCCCTCGCGTTCAGGGATGATGCTGCCAAAGACCTCATTCTCTGGCGTGTCTCAATCCCCGTCGTGCCCAAGGAGCGCAAGGAAATCTCACTAGCTGACATCCCATCAAAGGAGGAGCTCGATGAGACAGACGATGTATCCGATGTCTTTGAAGAAACGCCACCCAAGAAGACGATCCACATCATCGTCCAACGACCTCCTCTAGGTAATGCTCACACGCGTTTATTGCTTTTTGTGGCTTGCTGTTTGCATCGTCGACTCTTGTCCATGCACTAACCTAAAGTACTCATCCATTCGCACCAACATAGTCCATGCACCTGTCCCTTCTCGAGCCTTGACTCTGGCTCTCTTTCGGATGGTTCTCGTTCCAGTACGCCTTTGTCTGGTGAGTTCGGTCATCGGCTCTTTTTTTCATTGTAATTCACTTCATTTTTCTTTTAATTGACAAATGGATTATCTTTTTGCCAACAGGTGACCTCCGAGCTGATATCAAAAAGATCGCGGACCGATTCTTTGCAACTGGATCTCCTGCCTCTGACTTTTTGGATGCATACGTGCGAGGCGAAAAGAGTTTACCTGTGACTACAGTTGACCAGTACTAGCCGAACATACTGAAGGTTTCGTTGGATTCACTTTTTCTCAAACACTTCAGACTTTCTTATCTCCCCGGCTTTCCACCTCATCTTCCTCCTCAGAGAAACGCTGGGACTCTTCCTATACCGCTACTGCTTGCTGGACGCAACGGAGATCGTACTGGAAAACGAAGTACAGCTAGTGGAAGCGGCGTTTGGTCGGATCAAAATTTTCGGAGGTACTGCTAGAACAGTTCTCGACGAGCCCTTCGTGCTGAAAGCCACTCTCAATTACTTCCGGGAAAAGGATCCCTCACTTGTATCTGCTGCGGAGCGGGCGATGCTGCACTCGGACAATGCCTCGGTATATGGCGGCATGCGGGAAACGATGATGCCGCACGTTTTCTTGGAGACGTTCAAGAGTCGACCGTTGTCCTCGTGGCCTTTGTTGGCCAATTATTCTCTTCTAGATCAGCTCACAGGAGATGTGACGATCGTTGGTTACGACGAACAACAGCCAAACTTAGCCGCGTCGCACAGAAATCTCACCACGCAGCAATTTATGAAGGCGCACGTTGAAAACAACTCCAAGAAAGGTGGTCAGGACATCCCTCCATTCTACTTCCCGGCGCCTCATATTTCTGGACCAGACGTTGTCTTCTACATCAAGATCGGTGGTAACATCTTCCCAGTATTCGTCCAGTTGAATTACGACAAGTTTTAGAGGGCAGTGACGTTGAGAAGGCGCTCGCAACTGTCATTAGCAACACCATACAGGGCAAGATGGACAAAGAGCATGAGAAGCTTGCAACAGTTATTATATAAATAGTCAGTGTCTTCCATTTTTAATAAAGCAACTTTTTACCTTCTCTCTTCCTCTTGCACAAACCTACCATTCTTCTTGTCAATAAAAGTCGCTTCTAAGTGAAGTCCTTCAAAAGTGATCGATTACCATCGTTATTTTGATGTTAGATAATACATATCATAACCCATACCTTCAAAGAGTTTCAGCCGTTTCTGATGAAAATATATACGCGTAGTTTACACGTAACGATCAAAAAACGCGTAAGAAATGATTGATGAGCAACATTTTGAATATTATAACTTCATCTTTCGTAAAACTTTTGAAGTGTTATGATTACTTCTCCAAAACTCACCAAACTACATGAAAAGGTGCTTTTCCCAATGAGAAATCCAATGGCGCAAGAATTATACCGCGTATATAACAAAAAATAGCCGTTTTTTTCTTTCGAAGTTGTCGAGACCTACTAAATAAGGTATTTGGTACTATATATCGAGTAGTAGCATCATGAACATTGAATATAAACAGGAAAAGCGATATTAAGAGTCATCCAGTGGCTCAGTAGCGTTATTTGTGCAACTTTCAAGGCTCTATCTTTCTTATTAAAGGTGCAGCAAGCGTTTTAGATGCAAAAGTGGGTCGTTTTTGAGGCCTAAGATTAATACTGAGGCTTCAAAGAGAGGCAGCTCCCTCAGCTTTCAACAGAATCGGTTTTTAAGTGGTTTGTCTTAAAGTCCAGAAGTTCTTCTTTGCGGTGGATTGTGTAATGAGTTCCCAGTGGTAGCATCGCGGCAGGTATGGTTGTTCTAGCGAGGAGTGTCCTCACACATAGATTCAGCCATGCCTCAAGTTTGAAAGATAGAATTCTTGATGCCTATTGGCTGTTTCTCTTGTACTTGAGTCATATTTACGTGCAATTCCAAGCCCAGAAATGTACGTGGTTTGTAAGTTCAGTATTCCTTATAACTCTTCCTCAACATTTTATTAAGACCGCTGCCTTTGACGCTTATTGCGTGGACGATATCCCTCTTTGATTGGCATATGAACATGAAGTAAGTCAAGAGCTCTCTTCATCGACGATAAAATCTCGCCATTGTTCGGTACAGCCTTGTCGCTATCAATAACGCTAATGTACTTTTTAATGGAGTCGACGACGCTGTTGAGGGTCTGAGCATCCGTCAAAACCGTAGGAGCAGGTTCGTCATATTGCGGAAGATCCTCCTTCGGCCCCAGAGATAAAGAGTCTGCTCGTAACTCCATGTAGCCTTTGGGGCGAAAGTCGGTGTATGGGAAAGCGATCGCTGCCAAGGCAAGATGTTTGCAGATCATCTTGGTACTTGTAAAGTCGGCGCAAGTACACCCGCCAAACCGCCCTGCCATTCCGCGGTCCCAATCGACCGTGACATCGTAGACGACATGAGGAACTGTGAATGATGGGACCTTGAGCATCGAGTCGTCCTCATCTTGTAGCAACAGTAGTCTTCCGGGATCTTGCGCTTGAGTGAAATCGATATGGTTCTGGGCCGCTATCCTTGCAATCAAAGCTTTCTTGCGCCCAGGGGTCATTCTCCCAGCCTGGACAAAGTGACGGACACACATCTGTTGAAAGTACGGCACGGCCTTTTTGGTGAGAGTATGGATTACCGAATCCAGGCGTCGTTGTTGCTTGTCTTTGAAGAAGTGTTTCTTCAAAGTGTTGTGCCAGCTCTCGATGTAGTTGTTGGTGTTGATGTGGCCGTAGTTGACTTGTTGGCGGTGACAAAGCATCCAGCGCCTCCTGTCCGCCTCATGAGCGAGATAGTTATCGTTCAGGTACTTTAGAAGCAAGGGCGCAGTGTGCTGCCACTCGTCTCTGAACGAAGCTAGTAGCGTGTTAGACTCCTCCTCCGTCAATGCATAGAGAATATCTTTGAGCTGTTTTCGTACCTGACACAAGATGAACATATCAATAAACACTTGCGTTAACATCATACTCTTCTTTATTTGGTTTATCAGTCTGGCACTTGGATTACGACGATATGCTTCAATATCAGAAAGAACCATTAACAAACCAATAAGACGACCCCGACTTACCCTCTCTTTCCTAGCCTTTCTTTCTGCAGTGGTGAGGCCAGTCATGCCAAGGTTGAGAACTGTGAAGTTACGCTCCCAAGCTTGCAAGATGTGCCACGCACAGTAAAACATGCGCGGCTTGAAGGCAAAAGCATGCTGAATGGCGTTGGTCTCATTCTGGCCTTGGTCAGTGATGACAACGGTAGGGAAATACGGCATAGTACACAGCTGATCCAACCTCGCCTTGAGTTGACAAAGCCATTCCTTCAAGAGTTCCCACTTTTGAGTTTTAGTCAACAGGAAGGCGGCAGGAACACCAAGGCCTGTTTCCTTGTTCTTTACGACAATGGTAAATAAATAGGTGTCTCGTCTAAGGCACCGTAAAAAAAACAAAGCAAAGAGTTAGGCACAAAGTGGCGGCCAAGGCTAAACATGAGAATAAATGCGAAAAAGTGAAAGCAAATCACGTACCCGCAGGCATGATGGGTGCCATCAAAACAGAATACATCACCCCATTGCCTGAGTTGATCCAACTGCCATGGTGACGAGAATCCATGATAGAGGCCGTTCACCTTATCGTAAAAGGTAAAGTAGTTGTTCTTGTCCAGCTCTTCCATCCATAGTCTCGCGGATATAATATCGTCGTTGCTCTTCCGAACCTCCTTGGCGGTAATAGCGTGTATGATGTTGTAGACGTCGTCGTAAGTGATAAAGTTGTCTCTGGACAACGCCATGGTCTCCTTGCCTTCCAGGAAGCGAGCGAACTTGGCGTGGTCCATCGTCAATTGATCCATAATGGCGTGGATAGACATGCCTCTCATGATCAGGGCCTTGATCCTCAGCTTGATGGCCTCTGATTTCCGCATGGATCCAATGTGCTCCGCGGATCCGAGCTTGTGGTTGTGCTCGAAAAAATACTCGATCTTGTATGTATCTCCGGGCATGCCATCGCTTGTCGACCTTGGCCTGAAAGTAGCATTGATGTACGATCGGCACATGCACTTTATCGACGGCAATCGCACTCTGGGCTTGTCCCTCTTCCCACCTTTGACATGGTTCTTGTCCTGGTAGTTTATGCTCTTGCGGTGACAGCTGTATCGGCTAACAATCTGCCCTGCTCTGTCCTTTTTGGCTTGAGTGCTGCTTTCTTTGATATTGGTGGAGTAGGGGCGAGGGCTTTCGCGTGAGGTGAACTTAGCACCGATGCAGTCCGAGTGACGCTTTAGCCAGTCCTCAAAAAAGGCTGCCCTGACATAAAAGCTCAAACAGCGAAGTCCATTCTTCTCCACCAGGGCAATCCATTTATCTTCCGGGAATCCATAGGCTTCAGCTGTGTCATGGATGTATGGGTCGTTGAAGAGTGAGTCACGGATTGTTTTGAGTACATTCCGCTGAAGTTCGGCTGCCAAATAGGCTTGCCTCTCTCTCACGTTTGGGAAAGCCTGGCCATTCTTAACGCTCACTCCGCGGACATCCTCCACACTGCTGTCGGCACCCGCGGTATACTCTCCGGAAGACATGGCCCCGTCGTGCCCGGCTCCACCGTCTTGTGCACTCTCGAACCTTTCGTCCCCTTCAACCTCGGGTGAATCGTCAGCCGTGTCCTTGGTTTGGTCGTCCACAACCTGACTGTCCTCAACTTGACCGTCTTCAGTGAAGCTGTCCTCTGCGAGGCTGTCCTCAGCGGGACTAGAGTCCATTTCAGCGAGGCGCAAGATCTTTATTAAAGCGAAAAGGCCAAATAAGTGTGAGTAAACCAATATCGCGTATATATCGGCCGCATTGTTCCTGGTGCACACAGCATATAACTTATATTAGAATAACTTACCAGAGAGCTTGATAGCTCCAATAGCGTTTGATCCCAGGGTTCTTTCGAACAGTCATCGGAGATCATCCAGTTGACTGCCTCTTGAGTGTTCATGACGCGAGGATAACCAGGGGAGGGGGAGGGGGAATGCTTGTGCGGCGAGGGATGGAGTGATGGAGTGATGGAGGTAAAGTCTGATGTACAGTGAAAAAGGATCCGAAAAAAAAATCAAACGGACTGAATTGCTTCCATAAATGCACTATTCTAAAACCAGAAAAGCCGTCACGGATATATAGCGCACGTGATGAATGACGCATGCATGTCCAAGCACGACATGTAGAAAGTTATACATCGTCTTCTTTCCGACGCGCTTATTTCACGTCTACATTTCATTCAAACCTGCCAGCCACCATGCCAAAGGCCAATGTCAAGCAAGGAGGTCGGTCGTTCGTGGATGAGGCGAAGAAGCGGGCCCAAAAACTGAACCCTGCCCCCCCTCTGCTCGAGACCAAGAAGGACAACACATACACCAAAACACAGCTTGACGAGATATATCTCCTTCGCCGACTGCGATACCACGACCTTTTGAACTCTGCCAGAAATGACGACATGGCTGCTGGTGTTATGTTCCCTACTGCTGACAAGTTCAAGATCCCGTTATCAAGAGACTCCCTTTCCCTAGAAACCCAAGTCGAGCTGTTGGACATATACCATTACCTCGAAAAACGGAAGGAGAACATTTCATTCAAGTTCACCCGCCACTCCTTTGGGCCTGCGATGGGAATCAAACTTCCTAAAACCACCTTTTATAACATGCTCAAGCGAGAAGATAAGGTATTTTCACGTAACTAGCTGTCAAGAACTGCATATATCCAATGTACAGTAATTAATTGACTTCTTCTACTTGCTCTTTAACGTTCAATAGATACGCTCGGCTGCTAAAGCACTCCCGAAAGGCGCTCATTACATTGTCAAGCGGAAGGATATGGTGCTTGAGCAGGTCGTGCTTCATTGGCTGCATGACCAACGTAGGAAGAGTGTTCCTGTATCCGGCAAGTTGATGCAGGATGCAGGTCATTTCGCTTGCACAGTTCTTTGTGACTTGAGGGATGAATCGGATGGTACCCAGTCCAAGGAGCCACTATCATTTTCGGCTTGGTGGCTTGACGAATTCAAGAAACGGTATCACATCTCGCATTGCCAACTTCATGGAGAGGCAGGGGAGGTCGACCTGGAGGCTATCGAACCCGAGCTAATCGAAATTCGCCAGCTTTGCGCCCAGTACACCCCTGACAACATTTTCAACTGTGATGAGACTGGGATGTATGTGAAGGAACTGGACACCAAATCGTATACGAACCCAACTTCCATATCAGGCGCTAAGGCAATCCGGGACTGCAGAGTATCCGTTATGTTTTGCATCAATGCTTCTGGAACATCTCTCGCTATGGCCAAGAAAAAAGGTTCATTAATGCCGCTAGTTATCGGTAATGTATGATGTTCTGTATGAGTGACTTATATGTGAATGACCTTGGCGACATATCTTTCTTCAGATCTTAACCCTTATGACTGTTTTGGTTCATATTAGGTGAACACATCCCCAGAGACGTTGAAAAGGAGGCTGCCGCAAAGATGACCATGACGAGAACAAAGAAAGGGTGGATGGACGGCGAGGTATTTGTACGCTGGCTACAAAAGTTGGACGATGACCTTGACCAACCCACTCTTCTTCTGATGGACTCTGCAGGAGCGCATAATAACGTCGATATGCGCGACCCTTATGGAGGAGTGCCTTGGAGGCATCTTCACATCCGGCGACTACCCGTCAACTCAACTTCGGTTACCCAACCTCTCGACGCGGGCGTCATCAGTGCTTTCAAACGAGTGTTTCTGGAGATGCTTGGCTTTGAAACATATTATGCTCGAAACTTCGACCAAACGACAAATATCTCCAATGGGCATGCCTGGTCACTGGTCCCGTATGCATGGGATCAGATGAAGCCGTCCACACTACGCAACTGCTTCGCAAAAACCCCAGTCCTTCCAACACAAATGCGCGATCATCTCCGACAACAACAGCCAACAAAGGAAGAGCAGCAACGGCCGACACCTCGGTACACTCAACATGAAAAATACAAGGAGCAGGAAAAGGCGTATTTCGAGCATATCATTGCCGAGGTCGGGGTGGAGAACGAACTGAATTTCAGATTGGAAGAGAGTAAAGAGGAGGTAACCGGGAGTGCGCTACAACAGGTAGATGTGGATGGAGGAGGGCAAGATGCAGTGGGCGGAAATGGCGATAACGTCGGCGAGGCAAGTCACAAGAGCTCGCCCTTGTCGGACACCGACATCGGCACGACCATCCAAACACTGAAAGACTTGGCGGGCGACAGTGATGTTCTCACGACCGATGGCTTTAAGCGAGTTCGACTGCGTGCGGAACACGACTCAGGAGGAATGCAGGAGATTGGAAAGAGTGTAAAGCAACTCGTACGAGCATGTGCAGCCGCCAGAAACAAAGCGTTGGATAAGGATGTCGCGAATGGACACAAATAAACCTATAACTTTCTACATGTCGTGCTTGGACATGCATGCGTCATTCATCACGTGCGCTATATATCCGTGACGGCTTTTCTGGTTTTAGAATAGTGCATTTATGGAAGCAATTCAGTCCGTTTGATTTTTTTTTCGGATCCTTTTTACTATGAAAAAGGATCCCAAAAACCCTTTTTCACTGTAATGTAAGCTTTTACCGGGCAGCCTGGGGCCTGGTAACCTTGGGGCAAAACGTGGCACCTATATAGAAACTCTAATACATGCACACACGACTTCATCTTCTTCCACATATGACATCACCACCATACATACCACCACACAATAACACACAACCACCACAACACCAACGACACCACCATCACACCACACCACACAACACAGCACCACCTTATACACAACACCATCAATTCTCCCCACCCACTCCTCACTCTCCCACACTCACTCCAGCCTGTCACACATGATGTACTCTATGTGGTTGTTTGAGGGGGACTATCGAGGGGAGGTGAAAGGAGAACTATCTCTTCTCGCAAGGGCGCGGACGACCCGGTGTCTTCAGTGCCTTGGCCGCTCATCGAAAGGAAAAGAAAGGACGTATCGATGTGTGCGTGTGTGTGTGTGTGCGTGCAACTCGGAAGATGTATAAAGGGTAAACGACTGTAAACTTTGACGCTTTCAACGCTGCTGCTCGATATCAAGAAAGAATGGTGCTGTTCTCTCTGACCTCGAGCAGGCTTCTTGTACACTATTCGGCTCGACTTAAGGGGTCACAAGCCACCAACAATGTATCTTTTCGCCGAGGACTTGTCCGACGGCTTATAAACATTGTACGAGATGGGAAACCCACTTCATGCCCGCCCATCCCACCTCATTTAGTTTAGTGTTCTACCTCGCAATGTTCCCACGCGGATGGTGAGGTTCAACGTACTACACTTTATTCCTTTTTATCTTTGGATTTGCTGAGAAATAAAGATTGTCACGTTAGACATGAAGTGGGTTTCCCTCTCTTGAAGTACAATTCCAGCGTACCACATCTATGCCGAGTACTCCTCTGCGCCCCCTCCCTCCTTTCACCTAGGAACCTCTTGGGGGTCCTTTTTGTCCCAGAAAAAAGTACAGAAAAATGGTCCACTCTGTACCACATATGTCCACTTTGCCACATTTGTCCACAAGAAGGAACTACATTTTCAAGTGGCACGATTGCATAAATAAGGAAGTCAGCATTCGAAAGAGCACATTGTCCTAGGCTGTGAAACGATCCACACAGGCGAGTTTGTTACCCCTCGTCTACTGTTATGCTCATGACCCTCGTAGCTAAAAATAAAAATGCTTCCAACAAGTGGTACTTTCTCTTTGTCGAGTTCATGTTCTTTCTAACTCTTTGTCAGCTTTCTCATTGAAGTGAGGATCCTACAATGTAATCAAAGCCTCTTAGTCAGCAGTATAAAAAGCCCTCCTCGATCTACATCATTTTTTCTCCCAATTGACCCCATCACAATTCCAAGCACATACAAGTACATACACACACACCAAGTTCAAAGTAAGATCAAGACACCCTCCTCCCTCACCCTCACTATGAGTTTCCAGCTTCCGACAGCATGGCTGTCTCTTATGGTTCACCACACGACACGCCAGCTCAACAACGACGGCGGCATCGACATTGGTGCGATCTGCCAATGGGACGGGCAGGATGTAGCGCTCATGCACGATACATCCTCGGGAACGAACATCGGCCGAGCGTATCTGACTCGTCTCGAGGTTGGTGATCGGATTTTGGTCAGGGGCAAGATGACGGTTACGCCATGCCTCGACGAACAGAACAATCCCGCTACGCGCTTATCACTGCTCCTCCACAAGGCGAAGGCAGCGCTCGAGCAAACAGAGGAGACCTGCAGCGACAATGAATCCAGCAGCGACAATGAATCCAGCAGTGACAATGAATCCAGCAGCGACATTGAATCTAGCAGCAACAATGAATCCAGCAGTGACAATGAATCCAGCAGCGATGGTGAATCCAGCAGCGACAATGAATCCAGCTGCGACAATGAATCCAGCTGCGACAATGAATCCAGCTGCGACAATGAATCCAGCAGCGACAATGAATCCAGCGATGACAAGTCCAACAGTGTTAATCCCGACAGACCTGGTCAAGACGATCCTGAAGAGGACATCGAGCACAGACGACCAAGCAAGCGACCTCGCACGTCTACTGCCATAGCCAACCCCCGAAAACAAGCCAGAGACATTACCGGTCTTCCTGATTCCGACAGTGACAGTAACCGCCAAGACGATGCCAATGGTGGTCGGAGCCTTGCGGAGTATGGGTCTATGTCCTTAGCGCAATATAAAGGAGATCATGAAGTGTTTGCTCGCAGAACCCCGGGAGTCGGAATGGCAGGGTCGCTCCCAAGAGCTTATGCTCCGTCATTCAATGCTGAAGAAGGCGGCCTACAAGCATGTGACTTTGAGTTCAATGGGAGAGGTCAGCCTTTGATGTACCGTGAGCCTCTGCGGCGCATAAACGATCCTAATATTGTTTATTCGTTTATCCACAGATTCAACGATGGCAGCAGGCGTGAGATCTGTGTTGCAACTAGGATGGCCGCGCAGGAGAGTATCGACACTCTCATTGTATATGAGAACATTTTCGGTCCCTTGAGTACGGGCTTGCGCTTTATGGGAAGGGTCCTGCGTTAGGAGAGCAGAGGAGCTGTGGTCGCATTAGTCACTGGAGGTCAAAGAGTCAGAAATAAATACGTTAGTGTCATTCACGTGTTTAGAAGGTAGCGAGAAAACCAACCTATTGGCCATTTGCACTCTGGAGAACAATAACTGGGATGTGAAAAGTACAGGGGAAAATGGAGACGGGAAAGAAACGTTGTTTTATTCTGCTGGGCGAAGACAGGATCCCTTTAGCGATCCTGCCAAGCCATATTTATCTCAATTTCGTCAATTAAAAAGTGTTGCGGTACGGGTTTTATTCAATGAAGTGCACCAAGTGGCGACGACTCTACCTTAGTGAAGACGTCACCATCACAGTGGGCTGCGATAAGCATGTTATTCCCTCTGTAGTGCGCAATAAAAAATCCCCCTCTTTCTTCCCATTGATTCATCGGACCACACCTATACCTATACTTTTCAAAAGGGTTGTTGCTTGATTGCAGCACCTAACCTCAACAGATGGTAATAGGTATAGCAGAGTTTAATATTGATGGGGGAATTGAAATAGCCAAACGACAAGAGAAATGTTTTTATTAAAGGACGGACAAGTCTCACGTTAAATGCCCATCGTCCTATGCGGCCCCTTCATGTGCAGAGGATATAAAAAGGCATATAAAAAATATCCAAAGTCCAAGGAACGGAGTGTTGACTTCCATAACTGGCATATCTCTTCATAGTGGGCAACAGAACACAGAATAAAATAGCAATAGACAGCACAAGAATTTTTAAAATGTAATCTCTCCCCTGTATTTCACGACAAAGATACAGTTGAGAGTGCAAGTGCTTTAGATGATCACATACAAGAACTACTCAGGCGAATCTTGCAGTGATGGGTACAGTTTAATAGTAGATGGACATATTCAAGAGTTTGGTGTGCGAAAAATAAGAAGACTTTGTTGTTTGGAGAATAGGTTGGTGTTTAGTAGGATAGTTAAACAAAAAATGTTACAATGGTTGTCTTATATGCTTGGTATCATATATACATTCTCATCCCATAGTCGCTATGGATATTGTCGAGATCTACAGAGATGTAACAAACACCATATGATAACTTGGACGTGAAAGGCCTCCTAGGTGAATGTTTTAAACAAATATGGGTAATGCAATAGTGCTGAGGGTGCATGCATTGTGGAACTTCTCAGATGAAGTTATCGTGGTTTTCATGATGTTTGATATAACATACTTTGTTGGAAGTCACGATTGTTATGATATTTGTTGATATACAGATCGTTGGTAAACATGCCAATGGTGAAAAAATAAATGTCATAAAGAGTGCATGCATTGTAGAACATCTTAGATATAGTTATTGTAATTTTCGTGATGTTAAATACAAGCAGATTGTGGATAAACACCACTGTGGTCAAGAAAGAAATATTGTAAATTGTGCAAAGGATGGTGGAAGTTTTTAAAAAGATGGGTGATATATCTGGTGAATCTCATTGGAAGGGACGAGGATATTACTACATGTGTATTCCATATATAAAAGCTTTCTTTGTGCAAGTGGTATATCTACAGTTTTTAAAATTCTTGATCTACTCTTCTGCGGTCTCAAATGTTACTTCAAGAGGCTTCTTTTCTTCCATCGTACTTTTCTCTTTGGCTTGAATACTATCTAATACACTTTGCACTATGGTTTTTCTGTTGTTAGATCCTTCTTTTGCGAACTTACATAATATATCGCAATGTGGTTCGCGGAAACCAAACTTATCCATGTGCCATGTTTCGTAGTTGGAATACTCTTTCTCCAACAAACCTAGGTGAAAAATTAGTTCTTTTTCTTCTGCATTACCATCTGCCGAAACGTATTCCTCGCGGAGTTCTTCTTCGATAGCTGTTATTTTGCTATATACTTCTCCCATTGCCTTCAGAAAATCATGATGGTCTTTTGTAGTGTAAACACTTGAGGCATTCACATTTTCGCTTCCCATAGGTCCACTATCTTCTAAAGTTTCCTTAACATTCGACTCTTGCACCTCATCATCTACTTTTTCTACCGGTTCATCTTTCTCTGTCGACCTATCCTCAGACCATTGTGGCTTAAAGCCCATAGCGAAGATCTTTTCTTTTTCCTTTTGGTTAAGATTATCATAGTCGACATTCTCTGCACCAATGTGGTCATCAGTCACCAAGCCAACTACAATGTTTTGCTTGCGGATCTTGAGAATGTGCTTTCCATTTACAAGTACATTCATGGAATACTCCAATTGCTGCTTGTGAAACCTTTTCCATTTCATCTTGGATATATCTGTCGGTCCTTCCACTGGAAGTCCCTCTTCTACTTCAACATCGTCGTTGAAAAGCATCTTTCTCTCTTCATCAGACATTGGTTGAAGTCTCATCTTGCTAAGCATGGAGCGTTCCAAGATATCCATCTCTGGAACATCACCAACACCGCGCAGATGATCAAGCGTAAATAGGCCAACGTATGTATTCTTTCCAGATAGCCTGACAATGTACTTGCCATTCATCGTAACCCTAATTGCATACTCAAGCATGTCGTTATTAGGATGAACCATCCATCCTCTGTCCTTTGCAAATAATATGTCTTTCTCTGATCTAATGTTACGCACCATTGTGGACAGTGCAAATGTATGTTCACCTTTTTCATCCTTAGAATCATCTACATTAGAAGATGGCTCTGCATTTTTGGGCATCTCTGAATGCCTTTTCTTTCGAGAAGTCTTCTTCTCATCATCCTTAGATGACTTTTTATGAGATAGTTTTTCATCAGGGTTATCCTTAGAGGTATCATCTCCAGATTCTACATCAGGTCTGTTATTGGACTTGCCATCATCAGAGTCTTTATCATCAGGGGAATCATCGTCAGAGCCAGCATCATCAGACGTATCACCATCATCTGTATCATCGTCAGAATTCTCATCAGCAGAAGACTCTTCTATTTTTTCTACATCTGCAGGAGTTGCCTCTTGGAGTCCCATCTTTTGCAATATACGTACCTCTTTGTCAGATATTTCCGGTACAGGAAGATTTTTCCCCATGAGCTCAGGTGGACACAATACAACGTAGAGATCCTTTTCCTTCAGCTTAATAATGTACTTGCCATTTACAGTAAAGCTTTTTGCATACAGGAAAGCTGGATTAGTTGCATAACGCATCCATATGCCTGTATTAGCGAGTGGTACATTTTTCTTGGACGTTATGTCAACTACCTTTGGAGTCAACGGAAAGGAGACGGCAATTATATCTACTTCATCATCATCGGACGTCTCCTCATCCGATGACTCCTGCTTGTTTCTCTTTCGCTTCTTTGGTTCTTCATCCTCGGAAGTCATATCGTCATCGGAAGATACAAACTTAGAAGTATGTGTCTTCTTTAAAGCCCTGGAAGACTTAGTACGCTTGTCGACAGGTGCCTTGTTGTTACTACGTTTTATATGACCTCTATCTTGATCTTGATGACGTCCACAGTATGTTTGACCAAGTTTGGCAACACTACCACAATTAGCACCCTTAATGGTTGTGCCTTGACACTTGCGCGCAGGATCGTGGACATAACAATGCATGCCTTCATCATCAACTTCCTTCATGCATTTGCGCTTGGACTTGATGCACTTTGCTCCACAAAAGTAGTATCTCTCTACTTCCTCATCCTCATCAAGCGCCTTAAAGATCTTATTTGCATCTTTCTTGTTAAACTCCACTCCCTTCTTAGAGGAGAATGTCTCAAAGGCCTTGGTGATGAGCTCGATTGTAAGCTGAACGTACTTCATGTTTTTGGATATGAACAATATGGATTGTACTTGTGGTATGGTGGGTGTGAATGAGTTTTCAGTTTATGTGTGGTAGATTGCAGCTGCTTTGTACACTAATATAAAGAATTGCAATAAAAGATGGTTGTATAGGTATGGATGGTTGTGTAGATATGGATAATTGTTGGTTGGTTACTAGATAAAGATTAAGCAAGAGGGAAGTGGAGTCCTTTATTTATACTAGTTCATGGAACACTGCCACAATGGATATTAATAGCGCTTGCTTATTAGTACTGCTTGGCACTTAGTAACAAAAGAGTTTTAAAAAGGCATCTAATTGGTTAATAATGTAGTGTTCCTCGTATGACGTAGATCTTGCTTATTAAGACTGCTTGGCGTTAAAGACGGGGTTTAAAAATGGTTAAGAATGTAGTATTCTTTTATGACGTAGGTTTGTACATGTGTTTATCCTCTTTGTTAAATAAAAAGGAATGCTGTAGAATAGCATAGAATAGCATCCGATCTACTACAATAATACCATGGCTTTTAATAATAGATACCGGTGCATATTAGCGTCTTGGCAGTTAATACCGTATCTTAAAGCTGACTAAATAGGCCATGTATGACTATTCTTTTAAAAACCTACAATAAGTCTACAGATTACCATTAACATCCATTTGTCGCTTCGTACCTCTAAGCTCAATGGAAAGACCGGGTTGCATTACTACTGCTTGATCCATTGGTGTGTCCTCATCAACATTAACATCAACATCACCATGAAGATTAATACCAAGAAATTTGTTCTGGAGTTGTGCCATTGTATTTCCATCCTCCACTAGCGCACCAACATCAACATATCCCATTGGTTGCTCAACGTCGTTCTCTGTTGTCGGATACTCGAATCCTTCGCGAAGCCAAGCTGTATGAATTGGTTCTGCAGAAATCTTCAACAAAGCAACCATCTTTTTCATGTTTAAGAGTAACAAAGATAACTTCAACTGCAAATTATATGTTTGTTTCTTATCCACCAACACAGGAGTACGGTTGTTGTGTTTCTCAAATGTGGAACCAAGGTCTGCAAACAGAGATTCCATCTGCGAGCGGAAACTACCAAAGGTGGTATTGTATAACGCTTCTTCCTGTGTAAGTTCCTTGTTCTTCTGTTTACGGTATGGATGAGCGAAATTTTGGACTTTAAGAGTATCAGACTCATCTATAAGCCTCCTTAAGAACTGTGGATACCCTCCATCGAGAGCAATGCAATCCATCTCATGCACTCTCTTGTCCAACTTCATCGTTAGCAGCATTGTTCCATCAGCATTGTTCTTGCAAGATGCAGATTTGGAGACAAATAAAGCCATGCCATTACAATCCATTGCTACCTGTGTGCGTAATCCTGACTTTTTCAGCTTGTAAGAGTACATATCAGCACTACTCTCACCTTTGTATGTTGCTCTTGTATCATGACCATCAAGATGCAATGTAACATGCTTAAATAATGGAGGATTCTTTTCCTTTGCAGACAAAAGGCGTATTTTAATTGTGGAGAACATTGTTGCAATACAGTTGGTGATGTACTTGTTGTGCAAAGTATATTCTTTCTTATAAAACACAGAGTGCATTGCATGAAAACTACTTTTTGGCATGTGTGGTTCCATTGCTTCCATAGACAGTCCTTTGACAAGATGGTAGAGCATTAAAAGACCTTTCTCCACTTCTTTGTATGGACCAGGATACTTAACCTTTGGCCAGATGTCAACAAGAAAGAAGTACACTGGAATAGAACCAAGGCGTCGATTTAGGGTTTCTTTTATTTCTGGCATATACCCAATTTCCTTGCTTACAGTACGATGATTATTACGTGGTGTAATTGTTGGCCATCCAGCGTTAAGGAAAGTCCAATGGTCATCAAGCAGTTGTTGGAAGTGTTTTGTTAGATCCATAATAATATTTATGTATTGGATTGTCATGACGTTAACCAACAATAACAATTTTTTAAAAAGGCTTATACTTAACTGCATACACAACAGCATGTAGGATGGTATCTATCATACAGCAAGCACAACGAGCTTCATCCATCGACGTCGAATTTTCCGTTCGAGATTCTATTTGTCGATCTGATCGAAGATTTGCCCAGGACGACAAGAGGAATGACGTCGATTGTTGTGTTTACGAACTCGTTTACCAAGCGGCCCCTTCATGTGCAGAGGATATAAAAAGGCATATAAAAAATATCCAAAGTCCAAGGAACGGAGTGTTGACTTCCATAACTGGCATATCTCTTCATAGTGGGCAACAGAACACAGAATAAAATAGCAATAGACAGCACAAGAATTTTTAAAATGTAATCTCTCCCCTGTATTTCACGACAAAGATACAGTTGAGAGTGCAAGTGCTTTAGATGATCACATACAAGAACTACTCAGGCGAATCTTGCAGTGATGGGTACAGTTTAATAGTAGATGGACATATTCAAGAGTTTGGTGTGCGAAAAATAAGAAGACTTTGTTGTTTGGAGAATAGGTTGGTGTTTAGTAGGATAGTTAAACAAAAAATGTTACAATGGTTGTCTTATATGCTTGGTATCATATATACATTCTCATCCCATAGTCGCTATGGATATTGTCGAGATCTACAGAGATGTAACAAACACCATATGATAACTTGGACGTGAAAGGCCTCCTATAACTGCTGATATTTTAGTGCTCTGATGCCTTCTCATCTTGACATTTGATACTAATTGTTGTCTGGCGGGCCTGCAGCCGGAATGGCCAGAACACCAGGGGCTGCGTTCTGAAAGTGCTGCAACACTTCTTGAGCGTTGTGTGCTTCTACCCTGGGATATAGACCATAAAGGCCGCCGCCTCGGGTCAAATTGAGCTCTGTGACAACCAGGAACTGAACGGCTGGCTGACCTGGAACAGTTATTCTCTCGAGACACCCGGACACTCTGAGTACGGTACCCACAAGATATGGAACTAGCGCGTCATTTCGGAGTTGTAGGATTCCAAAGATATGCCTTCGATAGCTGTCTCTCAGAGCATTTAGGTCTGCCAAAAGAACGCGGCCGATGTCCTCTCCAGCGACCTCTCTGATGACAAATCCGGCGTGGTTGGTGTAAGTATTTCGAATGATGGGACTGACGACCATGACTTCCCTGTCAAGGATGAGTGTGCTAACATGTCTCTGAGCCATTCCGGCAGGCGTTGAGTCTGTATTCTGGGAAGTGGTGTTGTGGGGTGTGTTTGGGGTGTGTTTGGGGTGTGTTTGGGGGTTGGAGTGTCGAGAGGTATAGTTGCGTTAAAAGAGAGAAGATGACATTGGTGAAATTGCGCCATTTTATACTTTGAAGCACAGTGCGCGGCGAAGTTGTGATCGATATAATGAAAAGCCTTGAATGAAAGAGGCGGGGGTGGAAGTAGAAAAATACCTGAGATGAAAGGAGCGAAGGAAAGTCTGGTGAAGCAGGAAAAGCCTTGTGTTAAAGGAGGGTGCTGGTCCATCACGACTGGATACACAAAAAGGCGCACCTCAACAAATTAAAATGAAAGCGCGGAGTGGGGAACATAAACGCATTTTTAGACCTCTATACTCGAACGAGATGAGAGTATAAGAATAATGAGTGTGGGTCTTCTACTCTGCATATGTAGGTTAACTGGACTTACCTCCCCTTATGTGGCAGAAGTGAGATATTTGGCTTCACTGCTCCGGACCCACCTTTACTCCAAAGGAAAACTCGAGCCTCCGACCTGCTAAGCCCAGGGTGACAAGGAAATTGGTGGCAACGGAACAAAGGAAGACGGAAGGGAAGAAAGGTGCTTTAGTCAATTGCCATACCTGAGCATCAGCAGTCATCTGTAATGATGACCACCACTGCAACCGCCACCACAACGACTACCTGCGTAACCACTGGCAGTGTTACGATTAACTACAGGCTAGGAAGCGTTGCTGCTATCTGGGAAGAGTATTAAGAAGTCGAGCGAGAACGAGAAAGGTCTGGAACGATATCACTGAGCATTATCAGAAAACACCATAACAACAAAAAGCGGGCCTTTTAGGAGGTCAAGCATCTCGCAGTTCAAAGCAAAGTGCGCGATGCCAGCCTGAGCCACGAGGATGCCATTCAAAGGGCCTTGTTGGAGCTCGATTTGCTGTTCCAGATGCGCGCATGAACTGTTAACCAGCTGGTCAATTATAGACGAGGCCGAATGGGCGAGAGAAAAAGAGAAGCCACAACCACTACCACGCAGTGATGTATTTAATGTAGTCCTCTCGACTGATGCTGTCGTTTTTAAGAAAAAAAACATATTTACGAAGTAGGTATGAACAAGAGAGAGAACTTTTACTTGAGATTGAAAGTATTGTCTAGTATAGGTATATGAAGATGGTAGGATAGGAGAAGTGATGAAGTGACGTAAAAGTACAAGTACAAGACTTGATATGCCTAGGGGTGCCTGTTGGAAAGACCAAAAAGAAAGCTATCTTTTCTCTCTCCCCAATGTGAGTGGTTGCTCACTCCGATACAACTGGAAAAAGAGAAGAAAACAAAAAAAAAAAAACTACAGCACATAGTATTCCCATGTGGTCTCCCACCATAGTACTGACTATGCCATCAACTGTTTAACTGCGCAGATCGGACGGGATGCGGTGGGTTTAGTTGTGTATGGCCATAGCTTAGAGATATGGCTTTCTCACCCTGTAAATGTATGGGAGAGTCCGCATCCAGTGCGAAGGCTTAGAGATATGACTTTCTCAGCCACCCTATGCGCTATGGAGCCTCCTATGTGCACTATATGTGTGGGTGTGTCCGCATCCAGTGCTAGACATGGCTTTCTCACCCACTTTATGTATTGCGGGAGTGGGAGGGTCAATATCAAGTGCGGGCAGAAAAAAAAGGCTGACCTGGGCCGTGTAAAAAAAAGGCTGACCAGAGAGGCTTGTCAAAAAAAAGAGGACCAGAGGCGTGTAAAAAAATGTGCACCAGAGGCATGTAAAAAAAAAAGAGGACTAGAGGCATGTAA